ATTAGTCTTTCGTGGGGGACTCTGTCGAAGGCTTTGCTAAAGTTGAGATATACCACATCATAATTGTGCCCCTCGTCCACCGATTCGAAAACTGATGAAAAGAATGTTAATAGATTAGTTAGACAAGAACGTCCGCTTGTGAAGCCATGCTGGGAATCATTGATCAATAGGTGCTTCTCCGGGTGATTTCGTATAGAGTTTGAAATGATTGCTTCTAGTAATTTGCCTACTATTGATGTTAGACTGATTGGGCGGTAGTTAGAGGATAGTGATCTATCTCCCTTCTTGAAAATCGGTATTACATTCGCTATCCTCCAGGATTCTGGTACTACACCTGTTTTTAAGGACATGTTAAACAACTTTGCTAAGGGCTACTAAGCTCTTCCTTACATTCCTTTAATACTCTGGCAAATATCTCATTGGGACCAGGTGACTTATTAGGCTTTAGTTTGTCTATTTGCTTATTAACATCGTTACTAGTCACTACTATCTCGCTAAATTTGTTTTCTTCACTATCTCTGAATAGAGTCGGTGCCTCGGGTATCATGTTTAAATTTTCAGTGGTGAAAACTTTTGAAAAATATTTATTCAAATTATTGCTCATTTCTCCGTCGTTATCAGTGAGCTCGCCGGTATCTGACCGTATTGGTCCAATCTTTTCTCGTGTTTTACTTTGATACATTTGGTAGAATCCTTTGGGGTTTGTCTTTGCCTCCCTTGCTATCCTTACCTCATTATTCCTCTTGGCTTTCCTTATCTCGGTTTTAACCCTACTCGCCAATATCTTATAATAATCCTGGAGGTAAATTTCGCCATGCTTTATCCTTCTACCTATAGCCTTCCTTTGGGTGAAATAGGAACCGAGTCTGTATGGGTAGAAATCATGGAAGGAAGAGAAAAACAAATTTTGGGAGTGATTTATAGGCCCCCAAGTCTTGGGAAGGAAGCAGCTCAGCCCATATGGCAGGAAATGAGTAGGGCAGCAAAATATAACAACCTGTGCATTATGGGGGATTTCAACTTCAGAAATATTGACTAGGACAACATTGTAGGTGACTATGAATCTGAAGACTTCCTAGACGCAGTACAGGACAATTTTTTGAAACAACTAATTACAGAACCTACTAGAGGTGACAATATATTAGACCTAGTATTAACAAATAAAGAAAATATTATCAGAGATATCACAGTAGGGGAAGAACTAGGTAACAGTGATCACAGAGAAATCAGGTTCACCCTAAATTGGGAAACGAAAAACATTGACAATATGGTTGGCGGATTATCAGGGGTTAAGAAGGTACCTAGGTGAGGTCACCTGGGAACAGTCACGTCAGTCACCAGTAGGAAGGGGTGAGGTCATAGATGACACAACAATTGATCATGACACAACAATTGATCATGACTATAATATATTCACTAGTATACTATATAAAGCACAAGAACAAAATATACCATACAGAAAAATTAGGTCAAATAAGAATGAGCCAAGGTGGATGACCAGGAAACTCAAACATGACATAGGAATAAAGAAAGGAATATATAAGAAATTAAAGGGAGGGGAGGAGCAGCTCAGAAATAGGTATAATGAACTATCGAGGAATGTTAAGAAAAATGTAAGGAAAGCAAAGAGAGACTATGAAATCAAAATAGCAAGAGAATCCAAGGCGAATCCCAAGGGATTTTTCCAGGTATATAGAACAAAGGTCAAGGACAAAGTTGGGCCTTTAAAGTCAGGGAGGGGAGAAGTGATAAATGGCAGTGCAGAAATAAGCAAAGCATTGAACAGCTACTTCTTATCAGTTTTCACAGAGGAAATTCGCGATGAAATTCCAGAGATGGAACTGATATTTAAGGGAAAGGAAGAAGAGAAATTAAAGAATATCACTATTAGAAAAGAGGATGGTCTTAAGAAGATAAATAAACTAAAGAAGACAAAATCCCCAGGGCCGGATGAAATTTTCCCTAGAGTCTTGAAAGAGTGTAGGGAACAGATTAGCGGACCCCTCGTAAACTTATTTACAAAATCGTTAGACACCGGAGTTGTGCCAGACTTGTGGATACAGGCAAATGTAGTACCCATATTCAAAAAGGGAGACAGAGCATCAGCGTCAAATTACCCGCGGATCAGTTTGACGTCAGTAGTGGGGAAATTTCTTGAATCAATTATAGCAGATAACATCCGATCGCATTTAGAGAAAAGCAAATTAATCTACGACTCTCAACATGGGCTTACAAAGGGAAAATCTTATCTAACAAATCTGCTGACATTTTTTAGGAAAGTCTTCGAGGTAGTAGATAATGACGAAAATTACGATGTTATTTACTTAGACTTTAGCAAAGCATTTAACAGAGTACCGCATGAGAGGCTTCTGAGAAAAATTTAGGCTCATGGTATCGAGGGAAAAGTTTTAAATTGGATAAAATCATGGCTCACCGATAGAATGCAGAGGGTCAGCGTAGATGGTGTTATATCTGAGTGGGGTCGTGTAACCAGTGGGGTTCCCCAGGGGTCAGTACTAAGCCCACTCGTGTTCATAATCTACATAAACGATCTAGATACTGGGATCAGCAGTGACATAAGCAAGTTTGCGGATGACACCAAAATAGGGCGGCAGATTAATTCAGGTCAGGATGCAAATGCATTACAGGAGGATCTAAATAAACTGCAGGGGTGGTCTGAAAAATGGCAAATGAAATTCAACACCAGCAAGTGCAGCGTACTTAATATTGGAAGAACAAATACTGTCAATGTATACAGCCTTAACAACATCAACCTAGAGAAGTCGACTTGTGAAAGAGACCTAGGGGTACTTGTAAGCCCGGACCAACGGCCTAGAAAACAGTGAGTTAATGTTCGAAATAAGGCAAACGGAGTATTGGGTTTTATATCTAGAAGTGTAAGTAATAAGAGTGCAGAGGTCTTATTGCAACTATATCTTGTGCTAGTCAGGACGCACCTCGATTATGCGGTTCAGTTCTGGTGCCCTTATTATAGAATGGATATCAATTCACTAGAGTCGGTGCAGCGAAGAATGACGAAAATGATTCCGGGACTTAGAAACCTTCCATATCAGGATAGGTTAAAGAAACTAAACTTGCATTCCCTAGAAAGACGAAGAATGCGGAGAGATATGATAGAAGTATTCAAGTGGGTGAAAGGAATCAATAAAGGTGATATAGATAAAGTCCTTATAATATCCGAGCAGGATAGGACTCGGAACAACGGATTCAAGTTGGATAAGTTTAGGTTTAGGAGGGAGATAGGAAGGAACTGGTTTACAAATAGGGTGGTGGACGAGTGGAACAAGCTTAGCAACTTTGTAGTAAGTGCTGGAACGCTGGAAAGTTTCAAAGGGAGGCTGGATAGATTCATGGATGATAGAGAGTGGTAGTAAATCTCGACAGGAGCTGCCATGCACAGGCCAACCGGCCTATTGCAGACTCCTTATTTTCTTATGTTCTTATTACTAATATGTTAATAAAAAGTAGCCCAAGTTTGAATGTAAATGGAAGTGTTTATTGTATTCCATGTAGCAAATGTAATTGTAATTATGTAGGACAGACAGGAAAAACATTGCAGCTCAGAATCAGACAACATAAGTACAATATGAGAACAGCATCTGAAAGCAGTGCCCTGTTCGTTCATGTTAGGAATAATAATCATCCAATTGCTTGGGAAAAAAGCTTCGAAGTACAGTATTCAAATCATCCTGTGTCGCAGAAAGACTTCTGGTTGAAGGTAGTTTGATTAAGGAATTAAAATCAATAAACCTTAGTGATGGTCCATGTAATCCAGTTGCCTCTAAAAATGTCTTGAATAAAGTTGAAGGCTAAGGTACTCCTTTGTTTCCCTTTTCCCGTGTGATTTTATCAAGATTTATCTTATCCACGTTTTCATTGTGGATCTACATGAAATATAAATAAATAAATAAATAAATATATATATATATATATATATATATATATATATATATATATATATATATATATATATATATATATATATATATATATATATATATATATATATATATATATATATATATATATATATATATATATATAAACAAGAGGAGAACCAGGGAAAACACAAACATCTTGTCTGTTTTCTATTGGTTCTGATGATGGACAATGATTTTTCCGAAATGTTAGTAATTAAAGCAACCCAACGTCAATACAACCCATCTTTCATTTTGGTCACAAATTCTTCAAATGTAGAAGACATGTGAAAATAATTGAAGAACTTAACTTCATTAGCTTTCAGATATAAATAAAATGTGTAAAATACACCTTGTAACAGTCTAGTGCTGGTTATTGGATGGACCAACTACTACGCTTCAGATTCGCTCAGCCTGGCATTAACAAAAAAAATAATCGTCAGAAATGTCCATCGACTTTGTTTTATATTTGATAGGGACCAAAAGATTTTCGTCCTTGATAACTGAATCAAGTTTAAAATTGATGATACCAACCATTTGTCATGTGTTTTATGAACAATGGATCCTTAGGCATGAAGGCCCGTTAGGATTAATGTGGATACACAACACCTTATACTAATACTTCAGTACACAAGTAGGCAGCACGACTGGCACTGCCTCTAACCGCCTACACTTTTCCAATTATAAAGTTGAGTACCTATCTGCAGATAAGTGGCCTGGGTTTACTCCAGGATCTAACCAGCAACACTCGGGATAGGAGGGGATTGATGTATCCACTCTGCCGCAGCATTTCTTTAATTTACAGACAAGATTTAATCTAAGGCACACACGCAAACGCTTTCGTTGAAAAAAAATTGAAGAATAATTTACACTTTAATACACTCTAAAGGAAAATATATCTACTTAACGTTATCATACACTGCTAAACTCCCTTAAGTAATACAAGCCACAATATACTATCCTAGCATTAATGTGCACAGATAATATGAAAAACTTTTTCTCATGTGGTCTCCATACACTGTTGTAAGTCTAATCTTGAGTATTTTTATCAGCGACAGAGAGATGTTGCTGGTGATGGTGGTGGTCACCACAGCCGCTGCCAGCATCCTCCCGCAGCTTAGTTCCTCTGGTATGTAGCAACACCAAATTGATGACCAACCTATTGCCAGGTGATAAGTCTATAACTCTACCGCGACCCTTATTCAATATTACTGACCTCATGCTCACCGCTAGTCATCTTCCCCATCTCAGTCATGAACCACCCAAACGTCTGATCATCCTTGAGTTATGCCCGGTTAAGGATAATCCTCGTCGTGTTCCTGGCCAGACACTCGAACCACTACATATAGTTTCTGTTTATATTTACAATTTCTAGTTGACACTGCCGGGATTATTGTTATAACTTGTTCCTTACTTGGTAAAACTGAACCCTTAAGCCAGCCAATAATCAAACTCCCAGTCCAGTTGTTAACCTCCTTTTTACCAGTCTATGTTTGCAACATGGCATCCACATCTCCCCAACACTATATCTAAACATAGCTTTAGGCTCAGTTAACATTCTCCATTGTACTGTAAAGAAGTGAAACCTAACTTCATCTTTCATTTCTTTTGGCAACTTTTAAGAACATTTCTATATCCAATTTATGCGTAAAAAATGTTCTCTTCATAATCACACAAATATTCCGGTTACTGTCGTTAACAAGGACCTCCGTAATAATTCGATCTTTGAGACGCGGTACAGCTTACCTGCTCTGTTTGACCTAAGCACCTGGAAATAAATTTCGATTATTAGCACAAATGTTCTACTTACACTTACTTTTCATTAAAATTTCGTGTCTTTTCTCACATATATATAGTCAATTCTTCCATATATATAGTCAATTCTTCCATATATCATCCAAACTATCTCCAAAAGTTCCAGCATTAACAATAATTCAAAGTACGGACTCAACACACACTGTGTGTGTTATACATATGTTACATATTTGCATGTAATACATATAATACACAATAATTATATTTGGTACACCTGTAATATAACAATAAATAAATCACTACTTCTCTCTCAGGTGTGGGAGACTTGTTGTCAGTTGCAGGTGGTGCTGTGGGCGCCGTACTGGAGGCGGTGTCTCAGCCCACCTGCTCCCTCATCCTCCTCACAGATGGCACCACCTCACCCTCCACCATCCTCAAGGTGATGTTTGTTTTATGTAGCCACCTCCTGCTGTATGTTCTTATGTAGCCTCCACCTGCTGTATCTTTTTATGTAGCCTCCACCTGCCGTATGTTCTTATGTAGCCTCCACCTGCTGTATATTCTTATGTAGCCTCCACCTTCTGTATGTTCTTATGTCGCCTCCACCTGCTGTATGTTCTTATGTAGCCTCCACCTGCTGTATGTTCATATGTAGCCTCCACTGCTGTATCACCTGCCTCCACCTGCTGTATGTTCTTAATGTAGCCTCCACCTGCTGTATGTTCTTATGTAGCCTCCACCTGCTGTATGTTCATATGTAGCCTCCACCTGCTGTATGTTCTTATGTCCACCTGCTGTATGTTTTATGTAGCCTGCTGTATATATGTGTTCTTACCTGCCTATGTGTATGTTCTTATGTAGCCTCCCCTCCACCTGCTGTATGTTCTTATGTAACCTCCATCTCCTGAATGTTCTTATGTAGCCTCCACCTGCTGTATTCTTATGTAGCCTCCACCTGCTGTATGTTCTTATGTAGCCTCCACCTGTTGTATGTTCTTATGTAGCCTCCACCTGCTGTACGTTCTTATGTAGCCTCCACCTGCTGTATGTTCTTATGTAGCCTCCACCTGCTGTATGTTCTTATGTAGCCTCCACCTGCTGTATGTTCTTATGTAACCTCCACCTGTTGTATGTTCTTATGTAGCCTCCATCTCCTGAATGTTCTTATGTAGCCTCCACCTGCCGTATGTTCTTATGTAGCCTCCACCTGCTATCACCTGTAACTAATAATATTTTACTTAAGTTTTCTTCTATATCTTCTAACTCTCCTATTAATTAATTGTTTTACTGAACCTCCTGATCACTGATGGGTGATCTGAGATTTTCTTTGTAGCAGTTTTTCTCTTACACACTTGACTGTTTGATCAACTCCGAGGGCTGTAGTCCTTGGTCTTGGTGTATTTCTTAAAGGAAGGGTTGGACCATCATATATTACACAGGCCTGAGGTGGGTTACAAGGTTTCGTCCCTCTTTCTCTGGACATAATATTTTTTTTTCCACTGTATGGTTAAACCTTCATGAGCTTAATTACCAAACTTTACATTGCCGAGAGCGCCCGTTTCTACCCTCCAGCCATTTTGAGGCAAAATTAGTAGCTTTTATATATAATTTATATCGCTTCTCTCAGGAGGAGAGTGTAGTGCAAGGGACCCCCTGGGGTGTGGGGGTGTTCGAGGTGACACTGGAAGGCCAAGAGCGAAACGTGACACAAGCGCTACTTTCCCATCTGTTTCACCAGGCTCGACAGGTAGGTCACTCTCCTGTCTTCACCATAGGTAATTCAATTTTGTACCTGTTACACCAGGCTTTATAAGAATGTCCTTTCCGTGCCTGTTTCACAAGGTTCCACAGGTATCTCAGTTTCGTACCTGTTCCACCAGGTTCCACTCAGATAATATAAAGTTTAAGGCAACCAAGATATCCTCCTTGGCTTTTGCCTACATAAGGATACCAACTAATCTCTTCAACTTAACCTGACCTCCAACCTGATCCAAATATGGCTTTCGTTCTGCCAGGGATTAGCTGGATTAGTCTGTAGAACTGAGCCAGATTTATTTAGCTGATTCCTGGTGGTATGTAGCGCCACGCCACTGACCTCAACAACGGAACTACGCCTTCGGCTCTCAAATGATTTTCAATACGCCATATTGTCTCCATGGGAAAAAATAAATAAAGAAAGAAAACAATTAGAATTTATGTTCCAAAGCACATTTATGTGATATAAATTGAATGCAAAATTTTGTCCCGGAATCACTTTAGCCCATCAAAATTCATCGAACACAATGATCACGATTTGTGCTTCGATCAAAAATATACTTCTAAAGGGTCACAAAGCACAGTCATGGCATCTTACCAAGTGGCATACTTTTGGGGATGAAGCATGACTCCTTCTTTAAAAAAAATGTACATAAACAAGTCTCACAACTAGTGAGGAAAGGAGGCCACTTATATTACTTGCCTGTTAGGTAAGTTACACTCAGATTATTGTTGTTAAGGCTGTTAAATTCCTTTCGCCTTACAGTACAGTTATAAATCCAAATGTCAATTATAACACATAGATAATTATCACAGATGCAAGTAATGGTGGTGTTGAGTCATGATCTCCGCAAGCCACAGGTGTGGGTGGCGATGGTTATTAATGACCCGGTCGTACACAGGTGAGAATGGGGTCTCGGTGTGTGCTGGTGGTGGTGGTGAGTCACGACCCGGTCTTCCTCGACACCTTCGCCGAGTGGTCCCTCAAGGGTCGCCTCCTGGTGTGGGCCACCAAGCTACTGGTGGTCACCAGCCTCCCACTCCCACAGCTCCACTCCCTCCTGTCCTCCCACTGGACCTTCTCCATGATGAACACCATCTTCCTCAACCTGGAGGACACACCACCCAACCTCAGGTAATATACACAATGAACACCATCTTGTTCAACCTGGAGGACACACCACCCAACCTCAGGTAATATACACAATGAACACCATCTTGTTCAACCTGGAGGACACACACACACCAACCTCAGGTAATATACACAATTCATGTTATTCTAGCCCAGGGGTCACCAAACTACGGCCGGCGGGCCGGATCCCAAGTCCTTCCCCGGCTCGTGGTAGCTCCGCCTACGCTCTGACGTTACCAGAGCTTTCGTTCTGGCTTGCAAGTATTGAACAGAATGATTATGCGGCCCGCGCTCGTCATTCTTTCAGTTATCCGGCCCACTGTGAAAAAAGTTTGGTGACCCCTGTTCTAGCCTAATGTTTATATGGTCATAATATAAACTTCATTGAATTTTTTTAATAATCACATTCAATATACAGTCGAACATCTTATGGTAAAAGTGAAGGTAGTTATAAATATCAATGTATTATGAAAAGATTTCTGTGATAACCTGTAACATAAAGATTCAGTTATTAATACAATGTTTCTCATGCCATGGACAGGGTCAGGATGTACACCCACCTGCCATACAGTCCAGAGGGAGCCCAGGTGGTGAGAGTTGCCTCCTGGTTGCCGGAACGCGGCCTCGTCCCAAAACCGGACAGTTCTCTATTCTCCTGTAAATTCTCCAAGTAATTATGCGTATATATATATATATATATATATATATATATATATATATATATATATATATATATATATATATATATATATATATATATATATATATATTTATATATATGGTCGTGTACGTACCTTTGTTTTGTCATCATGAGAAATTAATCATTCATGTTTCCAGATAATATTTGAGAGCATAAAAAATAATAAAAAAAGAGCGCTTCACATTGTATTAACACTGCCATTGCATACTACAGCACGTAAATACCATCCTCTTATCTCTAAGTATGCAGACTCTTAGAATCATAGTCTGAGTTTCTTTCAGTTTTGTTATAGGATTCAGGGAACAACGAATGTGTTCAAAGGAACTGTCGAACTCTGTATCCCCTTAATCTCATCACTTCTGGAGAGTCTCTGGCAGTCAGACAAGTTCCTTTTATTTACTTCAAACTGAAGACTACAGATTTCATCAATTCTAAGATTCCTAATCCTTAATCATCAATGATCGTTCTGAAGTCATCTAGAATAATATTACCACAAGACAGAAGCTGACTGATATAAAGATTTACATACGTATACAGTTCTCTATCGCATTCGCTCACTTCAGTACAACATAAAAAGAACTATATGATAGGTTCTGTTTCACAGGCACTACATCACCCTCCCAGACCAGTACAATAACTTGAAAACAAAACTATTTTAATTTCAAGTGGACAGTTATTCGTGCAAATATGAGCCTCATTCAAATGATCCTCGCTACGGACTACACTTTGGTATGGACGTGGTGAACAATTTCCTCGGAGCAGCCTAGTCGCTATGCACTCTTGGTCAGCCACTGTTCACTGCGTCGTACAGTCAAAGAAACAATACAACCCCAGGCAGCACGGATTTAGAGAACACAGAGGAACCCATACAGCCTTAGCCCTAATTTACGAAAACATAGCAAACGCAATGCACAACAGGGATCAATGTAACGTAGTATTAAAGGACGTAGCAAAAGCATTCGACAAGGTCTGGCACCTAGGGCTCAAATACAAAATTACCACCCAAGAACTTCCCAACAACTTTACTTCCTTTCTTTGTAACTTCCTTGACAATAAAGAGGCCAAAATTATCATTGGTAACCATATAGGCCCAAGCATCAAGTTATACAGCGGAATACCACAGGGAAGTAACCTCTCGCCCACACTCTACACAATATACACGGCGGACATGCCACCTCCTACACACGGAGAATACGTAGCTTATGCTGATGACGTCACCCAAATTATCCGACATCCAGGCAAGGGCAAACAGATGATGGCACGAAAAACAGCCCACGCCATCGAACAAATCAACGAATATGAAAAAAAGTGGAAAATACAAACCAATACACAGAAACTAAAGATCATACACATTGCCAAAATAAACCCAGCACCAATCACAGTCAACAACGTACCTATACACTACTCCAACGAAGGCAAAATTCTGGGACTCACAATAACAAGAACAGGCATAGCAAAACACATAACACAACGCAAAAAGCTTGCCCAATCACAACTCACGAAACTACGGAGATTTAGCAAAATGGACACCAAAATTCAACTACATCTATTCAAAGCACTTGTCCGCCCCCACCTACAGTATCCACCAATACCACACAGCACGATCAGCAAAACCAGCCAACTTAAACTTCAATCAGTACAAAACAAAGCTATCCGTAGAGCATCAAAACAACTCCCCCCATACACCGCCAAAATACAAGAACTTCACGAATTATACGATATCGAACCACTGAACACACGTACACACAGCCAAGCCCAGAGAATATGGAGCAAACTTGAAGAGTTGGAGGACCCATTATTCTCCCAGTTAAAAGAGGAAGCAACTACTAAAACACACAGCTCGTGGCCCAGGAGCCTCCATGCTAATATCGAAGAACAAGACCCACTTTACACATATATGTGAACAAATAACACCACCATCTAGCAAACATAAATTAACACCCATTACACTAATGAATACCTAGCTAGCTTAGCTCCCCCTTCACTTGCCTCCCTTGAGCGGGCGGGCGTCTGCTGCGTGCGGCCACCACCCCAACCTATCAACTCGTCTCAGCTAGGTGGACAGCCCACCTGCTATCTCCCCCTCCTACTCTACTTCCCGTTTCTATGCTTTCCTTCTCTCTCTCCTCTCCTTTCCCAGGGCAAAGCCATTTGCCACTTTAATGCATTATCATCATCATCATCATAAACTGAAGGAGTTGCTTATTCACGAGAATAAGACATGTGCCTCACTTACATGTTTCGAGTAAAGATTCCTGTCAATTAACTTTTATATTATTTATCACGGGCACTATCTTTGGAAATGAATCTTCAACAAAATATACACATTTCATCTTTTCTTTGTAACGTACAGATTTATTAAATTTAGGTGTGTTAGGATTAAACTTACAGTATATCATAAGAATGTTCTCTCCCAAGAGATTTGCATAAAGCAAGACTTTTTTTACCCTCAACGGTAAATGCATATTAAATTTTATGTGTTTTAATCATTTCTGGCCTTCATTTTGCTGTGTAAATGCCTCAGCAATTAACCCCTCACAGTATTTTGTTTTCTCTTACGGGGATTAGGCCACCCGGGCACAGGTCATCGACCCACAACGGGGCCTGGGGGGTGAAAAAATAAGAGTAAAAATAAATTAAAAATAGAAAAGAAAAAGATCATATTAATCTACACCACGAAGATGCCGGAAAACCAGCTTTTTAAAGTGAGACAGATTGTAAGAGTATGGCAACAGAAGAAGACAGAGCATTCCACAGTTTGGCTGTGTGAGGAAAGAAGGATGTACTATAACGGGTTATTCTCGTGTGACCGACATCCACAGAGAAACTGTGAGCACTGCGGGCAAGACGAATGTTAGGAGCCAAGGATCTTGCCGGCGTTGCACAGGATGCCAAATTCACGGAACATATGCCGTTAAAGTGCCTGTAAAAGAGAGAGAGTGAAGCAACATTGCGGCGGAGAGAAATAGAAGAAAGATTATCAACTAAAGGAGGAGAGTCAATAAGACGAAATGCTTTTGATTCCACCCTATCTAACAGCTGGGCAGAAGAAGAGCCACCCCAGATATGAGAGCAGGACTCCAAGTTAAGACGATTGAATCCCTTATAAACTTGAAGCAACTGCTCAGGAGTAAAGTAGCTACGGCATCTGTACAGCATTCCCAGCTTTCGGAAGGCAGCTTTAGCAATGTTGTGGATGTGTGGCTTCCATGACATATTAGAGGAAATGGTGAGACCTAGCATATCTATTTTAGAATTTGGCAGAATGATTGCGTCCTGAAATGTGATTGGTGGGAGATCATCTAATTTGGAAAGTGTAATGGGTAAATATTGAATTTTATTACAAATGAATTTAACCAAGTTTCTACCTCCCCATTCGGAGATGCTGCACAGATCTGCATTGATAGATGAAATGATATCAGTTCGAGAAACAGATCTAGTTTGAGAATTCGGGGGAAGGAAAAAATGTGAAGAGCTGAATCATCAGCATATTTATGGATAGAATTAATCGTAGTGTGAAGTAAATCATTGATAAAAATAAGGAAGAGAGTAGGTGAAAGAACAGAAACCTGTGGGACACCACTATTGGTAGAGAAAGAGCGAGAGGTCGATCCCTCGACAACAACTGCCATGGATCAGTTCTCAAGGAAGCTAGAAATGAGAGAACAAAGTGGGGGAGAGAAACCATAAGAGGGAAGTTGAGAAGCAGAGACTTGTCCCATACCCTGTTAAATGCTTTGGAGATGTAAAGGGCCACGACGAAACTTTCCCCATAATCCCTAGAAGAGGATGACCTTAAAGATCCGTGCAGTAGGAGAGCAGATCACCAGTAGATTTCGCCTGGTGAAAGCCATACTGGTGATCCGACAAAAGAGAAAAGCGTTCAAGGTGACGGAAAAAGTGAGAGTTTAAGATAGTTTCGAAAATCTTAGAGAAGGATGAAGCTAGGGCAATGGGGCGATAGTTAGAAGGATTAGAATGGTCACCCTTCTTCGGGATGGGCTGAACCAATGCATGCTTCCAAGAAAAAGGAAAAATTTAAGTTTTGAGGCATAAGCGAAAGAGGTGAGCAAGCACGGGGGTTAGAATTTCAGCACACTCCCTCAGAACACGAGGGGGTATTCTGTCCGGTCCATGCCCCTTGCTCACATCCAACCTGGATAACACACTAGCAACCCTACGAGTAGAGATTACAGGAAAGTGCATACGTTCAGTAGGAGGAGCAGGAGTAGGAGGGATAGAGTTGGAACCATCTACGGTGGAGTTAGAGGAGAATAAGGTGCCAAAGACATTGGCTTTTTCGGGGGGAAAGCTGGCTATAGAGTTATCAGGTCGGAAGAAAGGAGGAAAAGAGGGAGTGCGGTAGTTATTACAGATGTTTTTGGATATACTTAAAGAAGAGTTAGTCAGGTCAGCGGTCTTTCTTTCAATAAAATTCCACTTGGTCCTACGAAGAATAGCCTTACAACGATTCCTAGCAGTAATGAAAGAGGAGTGGGTAACAGGAGGAGATAGTTTCATAACTTGATACAAGTGATCGTGAGCCCTTCGTGCCCAGTTCGCCGTCCGGCTGACAGCATACAGCGACATCGCTTTCCAGTGTAAATAAAATGGTTAATTAATGGCTTCCTAAAAAAACCATCGACATGGGACGAGGTTTGTTCCACTCTACGATTTTTTTTGCGATTTTTCCACCAAGTTTGATGAAAAACGATTGTGCCGTTTCGGCTGCCCAGAACAGACACACACACAGACAGACACACGGCTATTCCTATAGTATATTAGATGCCCTATCTCTCTCCCTACATGCAAGAGAACAGGAGCAATTAAACCGTGATTGCAAAGTGGAAGTTTTGGTAGAAGATAGGATAAATGCACTCATACCACCCTGTATAACCCCAGCAATGCTGTCAGCACATACCGAGGCGTCCCGAGTGGAAAAGCTACATTCACCCCAAGGAAAGTCTGAGAAGAATGGACGAATTAACGGTTCTGGTTAAACACAAGAAATACTCCCTGCCACGTTCGTAGGGTGATACGGTATAAATAATTTGCAATAAAAGTTTAAAGTCCTGCTTTAATAGTAGAGATAAGTTTATTTCTCAAGAAACAGGGCCGCCATTTGCAATGACGTCACTACCCTGCAAATGATGCAGGATGGAGATACGAGTCAATTTAGAAGTAATGACATTGTCTGGACTTTGTTTGAGAATGCATGATGCTAGGTACACATGACAACATAGTGCTGTTATTGTTTTGATGATTAACTAATGAATCACTGAGATATATCATCATTTATATTAATGAATGGGTAAAATTTTACTTTGACTACCATATGTATTTGGATGCTTATATTCGAGATAGGCTATATTGGGAAAATTTTAAAGTGTGGTCATCCCTTTACTTAGACGTGCAGACTATGTTTTTCTGATGGTTTGCGATGTGTTATGAATGATTTAGACCTTCATTTCTATCGGAAATCACTAGTTTTGAGTTACTACCCCCCCCCGCCCCCAATGTATGTTAAGCTAACCTTATAACTCATCATACCCTAACCTAACCTAACCTAACCTAACCTAACCTATCATATGACCTGCATTTTCTTATGCGATCGAAAAATGTTTTGCGACTAAAATCCCATAGAAATAATTTGTCTTATTGTTTAAAATACTTAATCCTATAGTTAGAATCTTAAGGTTACCCAGATGACCAAAACCAAAATAATACCAATATTTTTTGGAATGTTTATACTATGAAATTTGTAGCAAGGGCAGCTAATATCCATTGAATTAGTTAATGTGCTTAGTAATATTTACATATTCAATATAGCATTACTGTGTAGCACAGTAAAGCACAATTAATTATCTAAATATATTTATTAACAGAGCCGATCAGCCGAGAAGGTTGGACAACTACTTCCAGGATTCATCAAGGATGATGAAAGAATGTTACCAAAAGTAGATGTTATTATGATAGTTAGTATTATCAAGAACTCGGCCATCCAGCTATTAAGCACGTTAAATTACAAGTCTACGGACTTGGCGCACCCTCATTCAACTACTACTACATGTTGTCTGATCATCTCAAGCCCATCCCCTGGTCATGGTCGCCCCTAGTCCTTCCACAACATTAAATATAAACATCAGTGACGAAAACATACATTATCCAGACGTGAAATAGAAAACAGTGATGAAAACTTCCATGTTGGAGTTATCGGTCTTTTGCATCATTTTGGCATCCAGCAAGTAAATACAAGCGATGATACACGAGCAGTAATTTATTTTAACCTAAAAATCAGGTATGCCTGTACAGTATATATCAACATTGTATATGGCCACAAGACCTGTATTTCTGCAAGTAACAACACATATATCACAGCTGGCTGGGCGGCTCGCAATAGTCAGTGACGTCACAACCAATCACAGAGCTTTTCGCAGTCACGTGAATTTTTAACAACTTTAACATCTTTTTACACACTTTTTGACCTAATTTATTTTAAAATATCATTACCATAGTGAAGTTTATCATTTTCTTTACCAATGGACCTGCCATCTTACCAACAAATTCGACCGCCAACTCGTCCATTCTCGCAAGGATCGCCGGTTTACCCTCCGATAGTGCCTTAGTTGGCGTTTAGAGGTGGGGTGGGGGAGGTGGTCGTGCCCAATTTGATTTAATAGAAATAAGATTGTGATCAGAAGACCGTAATGGGGCAGAAATTGAGTATGAATAGTGTGAGGGGTTAGAGGTAAAACAAAAATCAAGAATGTTATCAAGTTGATCGTGTCGATATGGAACACGTGCAGGGGTGTTTATTTGCTCCAGATCATTAAGTAAGGAAAACGAGAGTGCCTCAACTCCACCTGGGTCATTCTTGCAGAGCCAAGCCACTGTGGTGCACAGTGAATTCCCCTAGGTAGACGATCTCGGTGTTGGGGTGTGTGAATAGCAACGACTCATGGCAAGAAGTGAGATAGTCAAAAAGTTCCAATTAGTTTAGTAGAGTTGGGAGAACAGTATAGGAAACAAAGAAAAATAGTCATAGTTGTTAAGAGATATTTTGAGCCAGATGACATCATAAAGAGAAGATTCAAGAGCCGTGAGTCTAGCTGTAGGTGTACGTGTGTTGCAGTAGGTGCATACACCTCCCTTAGAACGGAAAGAGGTATAAAGGTTGTAGTTGGAGACTTGAAAATGTTTGGGTGAAGCTGCCTTGGTCAGTTGAAGTTCAGATTTTATTCTTTACAGAGACCAACATACACAAGGGTTTTAAAAACAATTAATTAAGCCTAACCTAATATAACGGTATTTTGATGTTAAAGAATCGAAACTAACAACTTAACCTAACAAAACTTATCCTTTAATATCTTGTGTTATTAACTGCGTTTCTCTTCTCTGTAGACATAGGGATTATTACCCTGGCAACAGGTTGCAGTTTTTCTAAGAATGCATCATTCGTAGAGATGTGTATTAATTTAACAATGTCTGAAAAGGAATAACTACGATTATTACACACATCCACGTTTCAGGAGAGGCAATGAACAACTGAAAAACTTGGCGAGAAAGATAAGGAATATTAATACTCGCCATTGATTGACTGAAACAGAACCTCCCCGACATTAATTTGCTAGACAACCAACATGGACCATCGAATCCGGGAAAAATTGCCCATCTTTTTTAAAAAATACCCGCGTCTGTATTAGTTAATATCTATTTATGCAAATTCTCAATGCATATGTTCATGCGTGGTATTTTCCCCTGTCTTTTTAAAGGGTAAATTTTCGAAATCGATAGGGCGGGTTTAAATCGCCAATTAACCCCCTCAGATTCTACGGTGCCCAGGTGAATGTGACCGCCATACCGTTCGCGCCGTTTTGGGACGAGGTGAAGGGACCTGACAACACGACACAGTACTCCGGCACTGACTACATGTTGCTGGCGACCATTGCTGACGCTCTCAACTTCACCATCTACAATGTGCCCGGCCCCACCACCTGGGAAGAGGTAAGAAACAACATATGGACATCATTTATAACTTTAAATATCCTTAACTATGAGGATGTAGCGTACCGTCTCTTGGCTCTCATTTCTGTCCGGGAAGTTCTCCAAGAAAACTAAAGCCTTGTAGAGTAAAGTTCTGTCTCACGCGGTCTTCATACATTCATTTATAAGTTTAAGTAACTTGTAAGCACTACTTTTTAACAATAAACATTCATCAAATAACTTAAATATACGGTATACCATAATTATACACAATTCGTAAGATTAAACTGTTGTAACTCCGTCAAAATAAAGTCAGAATTTGCTGAAACACGAAGTCGTCAACGAGCTTAAGGATATATTGCTTCTTCATAAATTTGGTTAAAATCAGACATTATATGTAGATTTCTGCATAGCTAAGGAAGTGTCACGAAGGGGGACAGAAAAGGGACGGTTGGACAGACAGACGAAACCATCTCTCTTCTGGGGGTGCAGAGTCAACATTCACAGAAAAGTCAATATCAGATATATAAATTAACCACATTAGAAAATTGAAACTAATATTTTAACAACACAGTTGTATTTCCCAGTGACATTTTCTTCTGTTGTGAGTACAAGTGACACCTTACATCTGAATGAAACTTTTGAATAAATATATTTAAAATGTCCTGCACCACCTGTCAAAATACATAACGTCATTGTGAAGGCTGTGCTCCCACGGTCAGACCCGCCCCTTGTGCTGGGTCTGACCTGGTGAGTTATTTTTTTTAACGTACTGGCCATACATTTCAAATGCCATTTAAGTAGGTGTGAACATGAAGCATGATTATTAATGATTACATTATGAAGAGGTGACACACACACATATACGATGCATAACTTTCTAGTGTCAGTGATACAATTATATTGACAGGTTACAGACCTTGTGGAGGAGAGAGTATCCTTCATCGCCCCAGTATACCACATCTTATTGCCAGAACGTCTCGAGCGCTATGACCACTTGTGGGTGTACGAGTACGGGTCTCTGGACTTCAGTATGGCCCAGCCGGGTATCAAACCACAGTGGCAGTCGCTCTACTACCCGTTCATTGACTTGGTGTGGGCGGCCGTCCTGCTGGCGCTGCTGCTCACCCCTGTGGTCCTGCTGCTGGTGATTGGATGTTTCCGTTTTATTTCCAATGTGTATTATTTTAACATATAATGCGCTTAATCTATATTTGCACATTTAGTTTGGTTAAAATAAGAAAAAAAATAAAATCATGTTTATATCATATTAAAGTAGAATGAAGGATTATCTTCCATACTATAGGACTAGGCGTGTGTTTGTTTGACTGTGTGTGTGTCTGTTCTGGGCAGCCGAAACGGCACAATCGTTTTTCATCAAACTTGGTGGCAAAATAGCAAAAAATTCATAGAGTGGAACAAACCTGGTCCCATGTCGATGGTTTCTTTAGGAAGGCATAAGATAACAATTTTATTTACGATGGAAAACGATGCAAGTCTACGGACTTGGCACACCCTAATTAACCATGCAAGTCTACGTACTTGGCACACCCTCATTCGCTATATGCTGTCACGAGCGTTCAAACTCTCACAAGGGCACGAACGTGCCCGCGATCACTTGTTATAATTATTAGAACAAGTTTACTCATCAGTCCTATGGTACCCACAAAAAATGAAGCAGGAGCAAAGATAGATACGTAAATAACTATTAAGCTGTAAAAATGAAGTCGGTGTTTGCTATCGTCCGAAGAAATTACAAGTGTACAAAATATTAAAATTACTGTTTATATGCACCATCAAGGACAAGTAAAGATAATCACATAAAAAGTGTTCGGTTTATGGGATCATGCCTTCAAGTTCAGCTTCATTAAGTGTATCTAAATCCTGACAATATTAATTGGTCGGTCACTTTGCCAAATGGTTTAGTAGTACTTCCAGTGACTCATCATCCCCAGTGTGATCTTCTAATCAACCACAAGATGTTCTACCACAGGGCTAGGGAGAGATGATAGATAAAATACAGACTACTTCCTGATTTACCCAAACAATATTTTTTCGTGTCTCATTTATAATTACGAAATTATGAGTCGAGTAAATAATCTTTGTTTAACAAGTACTAGTTTTGCAAAATTTAGTAACAAATGTTACAATAGTCTTGTTCATGTTATTGAGGATTTATTGGATATGGTTTCTAGGTGCTTCGAGTCTAAATCGGCAATGACTTTATTTCCATGTATGTTTTGCTGGAAATGCAAGGTATTGAGGATAAGGGCTGGCAAGACATCCTTCTCATCGGAAAATATGGAAATGGGATATTTCCTGCCGGCCTTCGCATTGTCATAAGACGCATTTCTATATTACATTTACAGCATTAACGGTATTTTTTTTTTCGGTTACCTACTAATATCACTTTACTTCTTCATAATTATACTTTTCAATTCATTATAATTATGTTTGCCACCCTTAACCAATAACAACAGTCAAGAAACCAGGCGAAGACCATGCCAAGGGCAGGTTTTATTATTAACTCTATACGTATTCCTTGCACTGACAGATCGCTCACAATAACTGTTACATGTTACCTGCACAATAAGTATCGATGTAAGTAAATCTCTGATACGTGATGTTAACGACAGATTATTCGTGGGAGTGAGTGGAGGGATGGCGAGAGCGGGATAGAGGCAGCGGTGGTGGTGCATGACTGTACTGGGATGTTGTTAGGGCAGAATCTTCCACGACGACTGCCCAGGACCAACTCAAGCCGTGTACTCGTGGCAACCTGGCTGGTGTTTTCTCTTGTAATCGGGACTGCCTACCGTGGCAACCTCACCGCATTCCTCACGCTACCGAAGTACCCACCCCGAGCTGAGACACTTGAACAACTCGTTGCTGCGACTGACAGGTAGTGTTAACGCTCCCCCCACCCACAACACACTCGAACACAAACACAATGTGTATATATATATATATAATTTAGAAAAAATCTTACAGAATAACGATGCCACCATACGGAATAGTGTTCAAAAATTTCTTCAGCAAGTCAGATTCACGTCTGTTCCAAAGACTGGCAGAACGAATAGAATTCGTTCCAACAGTAGTCGTCGGACAAGAAGAAGCCATTCACAAGAAGTAAGCCATTGTTGTTGTTAGTAGGGAGTAGTGTTCAGTCTTCTGGATAGATACTGTTATAAAAAAATCTGTTGCTGAAGAATTAACTCGTTTAGACGACAACTTACCCCTTAGCTATTTTAATCTAGGTAACAACCAGACGATTTTATTCACCGGCAGGGAGCCCCTGCCCTCTAAAAGGTTAAAACCAGGAGTGATTATATATATATATATATATATATATATATATATATATATATATATATATATATATATATATATATATATATAGCAGGCAGCTACCTCCTGGGAAGAAATTGGAAGCATAATGTTTTGTCTAATGTTAGAACCTACTGCCAATGGCATCACAAAAATTGTGACAATGTCCCAGGTTGCTCATTTGTCTTTTTGCCTCATTTAAACACAATTGCAGGGTCTCATTTGTTTCTCTTATTTGACAACACATCTTTCATATACGTTCCTTATTTTTAAGTTTTTATTTTTTTATTTTTTATTTATTACTAGCGGAATCGCCGCCCTCTGGGCGGCTCTTTCGCTAGGCCACGGTAGGACGCCACTCCTCCGGGAGGCTCCACATTGTCTCACTGTAGTGCATTAAGGTGTCTGCTCTGATCCTAACTTTGTACTCGTCAGAAGGCATTTTTTCCAGGGCATTTTTAAATGACTGTACATATGTGTTGTGCTCATGCATCATTTCTTGGATAGATAGGACAATGTCATGTCTGACACCTTGAATGTTGCCACACCTGATTGTAGTCTGCTTTTCATGATCTTCCATGAAGTAGATTTGGAGGAACTTTGCCTGCTCATCTTCCAGTGATAAGAGGGATCCTGCTTTGTGATAGACTTGACCCTGGACTTTGAATGTGGGCATGTATCCGTGCTCACGAACTACTCTGGTAGCTCCAAAGGATGTCATCTGGAAGCATGAATTATACTTCCGTATATTTTCCAAGAAGTGTTTTGACTCTGGTGTTGTTCCCAGCATGAGAGTCTTCAATGGTTGTGGTGGTTTTTCCAAATTTGGCAGTCGTACTTTCCCATGAGAGCAGCACAGTCCAGCAGATTCTCCTTTGTACTTCTTTGCACCGCAGTATTCACATTTCTTATCCATGTTGCCAATGACAACAGAAGGATACTTTTCATATTCTATATATAACATCATCCACCATCACTACATATAAAACCATCCATCATCACTACATATAACACAACCCATCATCACTACATATAACACCATCCATCATCACTACATATAACACCATCATCCATCATCATCACTGCATATAACACCATCCATCATCACTAAACACATACACACACACACACACACACACACACACACACACACATATATATATATATATATATATATATATATATATATATATATATTTATATATATATATATATATATATATATAAATATATATATATATATATATATATATATATATATATATATATATATATATATATATATATATATATATATATATATATATACAAAGATGTATATGTTATATGCACGATGATGGATGTGTTATATGTAGTGATGATGTAGTATGATGGATGATGTAGTGATGATGGATGATATGTAGATGATGGATGGTGTTATATGTAGTGATGATGGATGGTGTTATATGTAGTGATGATGGATGGTGTTATATGTAGTGATGATGGATGGTGTTATATGTAGTGATAATGCCGTTGTAGTGGAATTTACCTACACCGTTAATGAACTATTGATGGAAGAATAAGTTTTGGGGACTGAACAATGAGACAATGTGGAGCCTCCCGGAGGGTGGCGTCCTACCGTGGCCTAGCGAATGAGCCGCCTGGACCAAACTTGGCATGGATAGCAAGTGTCATGTGGGGATCTCAAAAAAACTCCAACCAACCCGGTCCGACACACCCAACCCGATCCGACCCGTTAAACCACACAGAGGTTGAAAAGGATGTGGAAATGTTGTAAAGTCCTCAACTGAGCTCACTAACATGGTCGACCCAAACATTATCTACCACTACAAGGATCACAAGTGGCTGCGTGAATGCGCAATTCTGGCACCAAAGAATGAAACAGTGGCTGAAATCAACATGACTCTACTCAGACAGCTTCCAGGCAGTGAGACCCCATTCAAATCTGTTGATACAGTAATCGACCAGGACCAAGCAGTCCAGTACCCTGCAGAATTCCTTAATTCTTTGGAGCCCGCTGGAATGCCTCCTCACCACCTCACTCTCAAGATTGGAACTCCTATAATGCTCTTAAGAAATCTTGAACCACCAATCCTCTGCAATGGCACAAGACTGGTGGTGAAGAACATGATGCCACATGTACTGGAAGCTACAATACTGACAGGAAAAGCTAAAGGAGAGGACGTTTCTATACCAAGGATACCTCTCATCACCACTGACCTGCCATTTGAGTTCAAGCGACTTCAGTTCCCGGTTAAAGTGAGCTTTGCCATGACCATCTACAAAAGCCAGGGACAGTCCCTAAAGATGGTTGGCCTAAATCTGGTGTTTCCTTGCTTCTCTCATGGACAGTTCTATGTTGGATGCTCCAGAGTGAGAACTGGCAAATATCTGTACATACTTGCTGCTAATGGCAAAACCAAAAATGTGGTCTACCTTAATGCACTACAGTGAGCCAATGTGGAGCCTCCCGGAGGGTGGCGTCCTACCGTGGTATCGCGAAAGAGCCGCCCGGAGGGCGGCGATTCCGCTAGTATATATATATTCAGAAAAATCCTGCAGTCTCCCGTTTAAAACACTGCACCTTTTGCGTACCCACTTCCCAATACTCCCTGCACATCTTTGTTACCACCAATCTTACAGACAGAATATGGCCATTTTCGAATTTCTACCACGATTTCTTCATCCACACTACAAATCAATACTTTTGTTTTTGCCACACTCACTCTCAAGCCCCTTGACACCATTCCATCCTTTAATTTCGTAAATTTCTCCACTACCTCTTCAATAATATCAGCTATAAACACTTAAGTTGTCAGCATACAAGAACTTGGCACCAGTTACCATGTAACGCTGTCCAAGGTTCAAATATTACAAGGCCAATTAAAATGGGATGAAGGAAGAGGTGAAAGGGTGTTCACTGGCCTGACACACTAAGATATAAGAATGCAGACACTACATTGAATAACGTGGCCAGTAAAGTGAACTATTTGATCGATAAATATATACCCAAGACCAAACCCACTGGCTCCATGAATATAAGAAGAAAATTAGATATGAACCATGTGGCGGTTGGCAAAGTTAAGAAACACTTCAGAAATTCGAGACGTGGATTGGGACATGCAATGTGCATGACAAGAGGATGCATGCCAGATCCGAGAGCCAAGCAAAGTCAGAGTGTAAGAGGGATGAAAAAAAGTTCCAGAGGCAGTTTGCAAGCGAGGTCAAGTCAAACCCAAAGGCTTTCTACCGTAATGCAAAATCGAAATTAAAAATGCATGTAAGCATATCAGATCTGAGGCTTGAAGATGGTATTTACGCAGATTCAAACCAGGACAAGGCGGAGGCACTAAACAAATTATTTTCCTCGTTGTTCATAAGAGGATGCAAACAATCTATCTGCATTTGAGGAAAGACGGTTTGACACAGCGCTGACCCACATTGTGTTCTCAGAAGAAGTTATAAGAAATAAATTGTCATCCCACTAAGAGAGTTGTGAAACGAGCTTGCTGAACCCCTGAAGATCCTGTTCTGCAAATGCCTGGATGAACAAAATGTCCCCAATGACTGAAAAATGGCTTATGCGAGTCCTAATTCCTATATAAAATAAGGGCAATTGTCACTCCACGAATAATTTTAGACCAGTGAGCTTGACCAGCATAGTGTGTTGAGAACTAGAGAGCATCAAAAGAGATGCCATGATGGAACAGCTACTATGAAACAATCTTGTAAAGGACTGCCGACATGGTTTTATGCTGGGATGCTCCTGCTTAACATAATCACACAAGGTCCTGGCTGTTTGGACCCAAATTCTGAAACAGAGTTGCAATATTGACACTATATACCTAGATTTTGCCAAGGTTTTCGACAGCGTACCCCATGAAAGGCTGAGAATTAAATTGAAAAGGTACGGTTTGGGGAAATGTCAAAGTGTGGATTGGAGACTTTCTGCATGACTGCAGACAGTGTGTGGTGATTAATGGTACGAAATCGTTATGTGTACCTGTGAGAAGCGGGATACCACGGGGCAGTGTCTTGGGCCCATTGTTGTCTGTTTGGTTATAATGATATGCCATACGCTATACACTCCCCCATACAGATGTTTGCAGACGGCGCCAAGTTATTTAGAGACATTAAGAACCAAACACACTGTGAAGAACTACAGAAAGAACTCTATGAGCTTCAAAAATGGTCTAAGAAATAACTGCTAAGATTCCATGTCACGAAGTGCAAGAGGATGCACCTGAGTTGCACAAACAGTGAGGAGGCGTATCACATGTCTCAAGAGGACGAAGAACCTGCATTAATTAAGACCGAATGTGAAAAGGACCTAGGTGTGTATTTCAACAAGGAACTTAAATTCTTAGGCCATTGTGAGAAGAAGGTGAATCAGGCAAAGAAACTAGTAGGACTTATAAGAAAGTCGTTTAGATATCTGGATAGCCTGTCGCTCATCAAGTTCTTCAAGAGTGAGGTGCTTCCCTGTCTGGAGTATGCCACGCCGTCTGGTCCCCGAGATATGCTAGAGACTGTCAATTGATTGAAAATGTACAAAGGAGGGCCACCAGACGGGTGCCTGCTCTGCAGAACCTCAGCTACCCAGAGAGGTTAGAACATCTGCAACTGCCTAGCTTATACTACATACAGGCAAGGGCGACCTAATCGATGTGTATAAACATCTGAGAGAGCACTACTTGGTCGAACGTACATACCTGGAGCTGGCAGACGCTTGCTTCACAAGGGCTCACAGATTAAAGTTGAAGAAGTCACAAGTTCAGAAAACGGTGAGGGCAACTTTTTTTTGGAGTGAGAATTGTGAACTCTTGGAACAATCTGCCAGAGTGTTGTGACGGCACCGAGTGGGAGCTCATTCAAGGCCAGGCTTACCTAACATTGGAGCAGGTTCCGATATATTCAGGAGCCAGTTCATGCCCAGTAATTGCCAACAGTGCATAACAGAGACAGGCGTCACCGACCGCCCAAGCAGTTAACAAGCTCATTAGCGTAGAAGAGGATAAAAATAAAAGTAAAAGTAAAAAGAACATTATAAGAGATGCCATGATGGAGCATCTGCGAAACATACTTGTGAAGGACTGCCAACATAGTTTTATGCCTGATGATATTGTATTCTCTAAAGTACTATTATTCCATTGAAATACTGTACAGTATACTGTACTGTATGGTAAGTTGTTTCTTGAAGTTTGCCCTTTCACGTTTTCTTTAGCTTTGACCGAATCAATTTCGCACACTAATTAGTGCAGAGAATCTGCATATTTTAAAGACAATAAAATTCCCTCAAACCAAATGTTCTCCTCTTTGGCCAAAAGCCATATAGCATATCCTTTCTTAAGATCCTCAGGATTTTTTTTTCCTTACTATACCTTATAGCAGACAAGCACACATGGAAAACCGACGTTACCAGCAGCTGAAGATAGCAGAGAGGTTCACCAAGGCGGATGGGACCCCCAAATTATACATTGGTCGGGACAGTATGCTTCCTGGCCAGGCTTCCTGGCCTATTCCTCATGATGCTCCCTACAAACCCATCTTAAATCGCTGCCTCATGGCTGTCATTGAGGTCAGTCACTAAACGCTTGGACAATGGAATATTACACCTGAATCTCAACTGAGAAAGTATGATTTGTTAAATCAACAAAAAGTGAATGTATGTGTAGAAGTTCTCCTTTTTCTTTTTTCCTCTTCACCACTGATCGGCTCGTTAGCCGCTTGGGCGATCGGTCACGTCTCTGTTATGCACTGTTGGCAAGTACTGGGCATGCACCGGCTCCTCATTGTACAGTCTAGTTTAAGATTCTTCGAACACTGCTGAAGACAGCTGGCAACTCAAGGCCGTTTGTTTACTATAGTATGTAGAATAATATAATATGAAACAACAAAGCCCAACCATCAAATTAAGCAACGGGGAACGAAGTAACCAATCACAGATCACTTTTACATTTATTCATAATTTTTACTACGTACTATAGTAAACAAACGGCCTTGAGTTGCCAGCTGTCTCCAGCAGTGTTAGAAGAATTTTGAATGACACTGTACCTGAACCAGCTCCAGTGTTGGTCAAGTCTGGTCTTGAAAGAGCTCACATTCGGTGCCGCCACAACACTTTCTGGTAGATTGTTCCAAGAGTTCAGAACTCTCACTCAGAAAAAGTTTGCCCTCACAGTTTTCTGGACCAGCGGCTTCTTCAATCTTGAGCTGTGATCTCCTGTGGGGCGAGCGTCCGCCAGCTCCATGTAAGGACACTCGACTGAGGAGGATGTATGCAAGAGCCAGAAACCAGGCAAAGGCAGAGTGTAGAAGCGCTGAAAAGGAGTTCCAAAGGCTGGTTGCAAGCAGGACAAGTCAAACCCAAAGGAGTTTTACCGCTATGCAAAGTCAAAATTAAAAACGCGAGTAGGAGTATCAGACCTGAGGCTTGAAGTTGGTAGTTATGCAGATTCTGACCAGGATAAAGCTGAGGCATTGAACAGCTTTTTTTCCTCGGTGTTCACAAGAGAGGGTGCGATTAACCTTCCTGCGTTTGAGGACAGACGGTTCGACACACTGACCCACATTGTGTTCACAGAAGAGGGTATTAGAAATAAACTGCCAAAGCTAAAGGTCCATAAGAGTCCCGGCCCTGACATGGTGCATCCCAGAGTGCTAAGAGAGTTGTGCAACAAGCTTGCCGAGCCCCTGAAGATCCTGTTTTGTAAATGCCTGGATAAACAAAAGGTCCCCACTGATTGGAAAGCGGCTTATGTGAGTCTATCTTCAATAAGGGTGATCGTTACCCCACAAACAACTATAGACCGGTGAACCTGACCAGCATAATATGTAAACTCTTACTCTTACTCTTATCCTCTTCGCCACTCATCGGCTTGTTAGCCGCTTGGGCGATCTGTCACATCTCTGATTACTTTTCCTTTTCATTTATCTTTTTCACCAAAAGATCGGCTCGCTAGCCGCCCGGGCGATCGGTCACGTCTCTGTCACGCACTGTTGGCAAATACTGGGCATGCACCGGCTCCTGAATATACCTGAACCCGCTCCAGTGTTGGTACTTGAGAGTATTATCAGAGATGCCGCAATGGAACATCTACTACGAAACAACCTTGTAAAGGATTGCCAACACGGTTTTATGCCGGGGTGCTCCTGCTTAACACAATTGCTCAAGGTATTGCATATTTGGACCCATATTCTGGAACGGGTTGGTAATATCGACAATATATACCTAGATTTTGCCAAGGCTTTCGGCAGTGTGCCCCACGAGAAGCTGAAAATCAAACTGGAAGGGTACGGAATTCGGGGAAATGTCTTCGCGTGGATAGAAAACTTTCTACATGACTGCAAGCAGTGTGTGGTAATTAATGGCACGAAATCATCATCTGTACCTGTCACAAGTGGGATACCACAGGGTAATGTATTGGGCCCACTGTTGTTTGTTTGTTTCATAAATGACATGCCCGACGTTGTACACTCCTCCATACAAATGTTTGCCGATGACGCCAAATAATTTTGGGAAATCAAGAACCATGCAGACTGTGAAGAGCTGCAAAAGGATCTTTGTGAGCTCCAAGAATGGTAGAAGAAATGGCTCCTGAGACTCAATGTCACGAAGTGTAAGAGGATGCGCCTGGGGCATACCAACAGTAAGGAGGCGTATCATATGTCGCAACGGGATGAAGAACCTGCACTATTGGAAACTGAGTGTGAGAAGGACCCAGGTGTGCATATTGACAATGAGCTGAAGTTCTCGGGCCATTGCGAGAAGAAGGTAAATCAGGCAAATAAATTATTGGGTCTTATGAGAAGGTCGTTCAGGTATCTAGACGGTTCGACCCTCATAACGATCTTCAAGAGTGAAGTCCTTCCCCATCTGGAGTACTGTCACCCCATCTGGTCCCTGAGATATGCTAGGGACTGTCAGTTGGTTGAAAATGTTCAAAGGAGGGCCACCAGACTGGTGTCTGCACTTCAGTACTTCAACTACCCTCAGAGATTGGAGCGCCTGAACTTGCGTAGCTTATACTACTGACAGGCAAGGGGTGACCTAATTGAGGTGTATAAGCACCTCAGGGGGCACTACTCAAGTCGAGTGTCCTTACTTGGAGCTGGCAGACGCTCGCCCCACAAGGGGTCACAGCTCAAGATTGAACAAGCGGCAAGTCCAGAAAACTGTGAGGGAAAACTTTTTCGGAGTGAGGGTTATAAATTCTTGGAACAATCTACCAGAAAGTGTTGTGACGGCACTGAGTGTGAGCTCTTTCAAGACAAGACTTGACCAACACTGGAGCAGGTTCAGGTACATTCAGGAACCAGTGCATGACCAGTACTTGCCAACAGTGCGTAACAGAGACGTAACCGATCGCTCAAGCGGCTAACAAGCCGATTAGTGGTGAAGAGGAAAAAAGTAAGTAAAAGTTTGACCCAACCCCCAAACATAGAGTTCTTGATTTAGGCACTTGCCATTAGTTAACACCATACAAGACACATGTACACAAAAAAATTCTCTTCTTTGCTTCCCATTCCCAATATTTTACTCAGGGGTTTTTGTATAGTAAAAAGTAATTACTACTGACCTCAGAATATCTCCTAAGATCAAGTGCTCGTTGTGCTCGCCATGTTCCCCCAACCATAAGTTCTTGGATCCCTCCCCTTTTGATATTCCTGGATTTGCCCGTCAAAGGTCGACTTTCTAAATTCGTCTGTACCATATTCTGTCTTCAGCTTCACAAATCTACAATACAGGTTGCTATTTCCTTTTACAACCTTCTCCTGAACTTGCATTTCATCGATGTTCATTATCTTCATCAACCTCCGGTCCACTGCTCATTCTAGTGCCTCCATAAGATGCTCCATCAGTTTAATCCCATTGTAGTTTCCACAGATTCTTATGTACAGTATTACCCCGCTTTACACGGTTTCACTTTCCGCGATTTCTCATTTACGCGGTACCTTGCCAGAACCGGACTTTCACTTTCCGCGGTGCATCTACTCATATACGCGGTGAAGTAAAATTTTTTTTTTTTATTTAGCTCATAAAATTCATACAAATTACCCGGCCAGAATATAATTTACATTGCTGGAATTCTTACAATATGATGATCATTTTGAATATAAACATCATGGATTTTGCATTAGACATACAAATTTTAGGTCTAATGTAATAATTTGGTTTACACAAAGCAAATATTTTGTCTTTTGTGCAAAATATATGAAGTTTACATTCAAAATATTCCCTGACCTGCAAGGAATCCAGAAATGTCAATTATATTATCCTAACTTTAGTCTGAGGTATTATTTATTACTAAACGTCAAAATCTAGTGTTTTCAGCCAAACATTTCTCTGGCAGGGAGGGAAGGTGGGGGGTGGGGGGGAGGGTTGGGACCAACCACCCAGCTGGCGTGAGTGTGAGGAGAGGGGGAAGGCAAGGTGGGGTACTTTGATTGACAGATAGTGTCCTTGAAGAATATTTCTTTGTTTATTTACTGAAGATATTTGTTTTAGCTCATAAAATTCATACAAATTACCCGGCCAGAATATAATTTACATGCTGGAATTCTTACAATATGATGATCATTTTGAATATAAACATCATGGATTTTGCATTAGACACACAAATTTTAGATCTAATGTAATAATTTGATTTACACAAAGCAAATATTTTATCTTTTGTGCAAAATATATGAGGTTTACATTCAAAATATTCCCTGACCTGCAAGGAATCCAGAAATGTCAATTATATTATCCTAACTTTAGTCTGGGGTATTATTTATTACTAAACGTTAAAATCTAGTGTTTTCACCCAAACATTTCTGAGAGAGGTAGGAGCTAGTGAGCTGGGAAGAGGGGGGGGGGGGATTTGAGTCCATTATTTGAATGGACATTAACCTGGCGACTGTATTTTTCTTAAATAGGTATTGTGTCGGAAAAAGTGGAGTTTGGGGGTCGGGCCAGTCTCTATTGGAATTAATCCAGTATGTTCTGTCGTTCACTTTGCGGGGTTTTCACTTTCCGCGGTACCCCGTGGGTTCAATTGACCGCGTAAATATGGGTACTACTGTATAGTAAACTCTCTGTTAGCCAGAATGGAAATCAGGACCAAAAAAATCCGAGAAAACAACTGGGTCTGCAAACGAGTTTCCAGAGATGAAAATCAGATGCATTTTCTGGAAAAATCCAGAGAAAATCTCTCCAAACATTTCCATTCCAAGAATGGGATGAAATGTTCTGCGAGTTCCAAGAGATTGCATTATGCTCTGCAGCATCCTTTCGTGCCCAGGTGGGTAGATGGGCTGGAGGTTTATGTGCTGCAATTGGCTAATTCTGTCATGGGACTGCATGGGATGCCTGTGATAGGCTGATGCATCTCCCAGGTTATTACCCCCTAAGCCAAGCATCATGACATGACACACTTTGTTCAAACTGTACAGTAGTCCTCTGTCATTGTACAAGGTTGATCCCTCTCTCGCTGCAGTTTTTGCAAAAATTTGCGTTCTGCGGTACTGTACATTACTGCACCAGGACACAATCAGCTAAAAATACCTGTACAATGTTAAACCAGTGTTAAGACATAAACAATGATTACAGTGTGTATTTTACTGTAAATTAACATTGTTAGTGTGAGCATCATACCTACGGTATCATGCATAAGAGTGGACAACAGTGTTTGCGTTCTGTAGCCTAAGCATCGTACATATGGTACCGTGCGTGCCTGCATCAGAAACTCAAGACAGCAGCATTTGGTGGTGAGTACAGTACAGTACAGTACAGTACAGTATATTTTGCTCATATATAATTATAGTGTATACTGTACAGTATTATACCTGTATCTTATTTGTTTATACAGTGATCCCTGGGTTAACGAGCGCCTTGGTTAAAGAAATTTCGGTTAACGAATTACCTTCCATAAGATTCTTAACTTCGGTTAACGAGCATTCCCTTGATTAACAAATTCCTTATGAGCGCCCCTCCACATGTTTTCGCTTGCATACTAGCTGTCATATTAGTCCGCCAATACAGTAATCGGTTCTAGGGCTTAAATTCCTTACTACTGTATTTTAGTAAATATCAAGAAGTTTGTACTATTCAATAGTTTTAAAAGTCGTACATTAAATTTTTTTGTCATTTTAACAATTATTTAACATAATTTAAGTACATTGTACAGGGAAACTAGTTTTTAGCATGCCAAACAGCCTGTCAACACACCATACAGGCGTCAGTCTCTGTGTCTTTTCAGTGGGGGTAACATCTTGCTTGAAACTCTCTTTAACATAAATGCTTTTTTTCTGTGTTTCCAGTCAAATTATTGGTCATTTTGAAATTTATTTTACATATTGACAATATATAATGCAGTACAGTGTTGATTTAAAGAAAATAATCTTTAATTACACCAAGTGAACTAAAATTTTATGGGTGAAATGGTGCCATGGGGTGAGTTCTCTTCCACCCCAATGCCTTCTCTTCTCCCTTCTCCTCCACCCCCATTCTAATTCCCATCATCATCTAGTACATGCACACATAAAAGTAAGTGTACTTTACTACCTTTTTTGTTGACTTTAGGCAATTTTCCGTGAGCTGGAACCAATTACCCAAAAACCCATTGAAACAATGGTTTCGGTTAACGAGCAACCTTCTAGAACGAATTGTGCTCGTTAACCGAGGGACCACTGTACTGTACAGTATAGTGTACACAATAGTACTGTATACATCATTTTGTTTCTTTACAGTATATTGCATTTGAACAGTGGCATTTGCATAAATAAATACAACTCTGTGTCTGTCCGTGCAAATTGCGTAGTTTAGACTCTCGGGAAAGCTTTTCCCAGCACCAATGTGTAGTTATAATCACAGAAAACTTTCCTCAGCACCCAGAAACATTCTGGGGAGTGTGTGATACTCTGAGTTTTATCTTTTACTTTTACCCTCTTCGCCACTGATCAGCTCGTTAGCAGCTTGGGTGATCAGTCATGTCTCTGTTACTCACTGTTGGCAAGTACTGGGCAAGCACTGGCTCCTGAATGTTTCTGAACCTGCTCCACTGTTGGTCAAGTCTGGTATTACATGAGCTCACACTCGGTGCCGTCACAACACTCTCTGGCAGGGTGTTCCAAGAGTTCACAATTCTCAGTCCGAAAAAGTTTACCTTCACAGTTTTCTGGCTTTGTGGCTTCTTCAACCTTGAGCTGTGACCACTTGTGGGGTGGGTGTCCGCCAGCTCTAGGTATGGACTCTCGACTGAGTAGTTCCTTTTGAGATGTTTATACACCTCCATTCGGGCACTCCTTGCCCATCTGTAATATAAGCTAGGCAGTTGCAGGAGCTCTAATTTCTCTGAATAACTGAGATGCCAAAGTGCAGGCACCAGTCTGATGGCCCTCCTTTGGACATTTTCAATCAACAGACAGTCCCTAGCATATCTCGGGGTGACAATACTCCAGGCGGGTAAGCACCTCACTCTTGAAGATCTTTACGAGGGACGGACCGTCTAGATATATGACCTTCTTTTAAGACCCACTAGTTTAGTTGCTTGATTCACCTTCTTCTCACAATGGCAGTATCTGTCCATGTGAGATATACTGTATAGTTTAGACTCTTGGAAAACTTTTCCCAGTTCACCAGAAAAATTCTGGGGATGTAAGATTTTTTCCGGATTTGAGAAGTTGTTCTGGCTAATGGAGATATCACTATTGCCTGTAATTTCTCGTCCCTCCACATTTCCAACCCTTAATCAATCACCCAACACCCTCACTACCTCTACTGCTACCGCCGATGTTGTACAAGCCTTCCCTCTGTCCATCCTTTCTAGTTCCATCCTCTTGTCCTTTTTCTGCATATCCATCACTGGTCCTTCATTTGCCACTATTTCTGCAAAGACTTGTCTCTTTATTTTCCACATTCGGTACGCTCACTTTCTCCTAAATTCTTCTTTTTCATCAGTCTTGCATTTGCTCCTCTGCAGATGTTTTTCTCTCTATGTTGTTGTGCAATTCCTGTACAGCTTCCCACCTCGCTTTACCAACTGCTTTCTTCCCTTGCCAATTAACTACTTTACATTTTTCCTCTGCCCAGCCATACCCTGTTCTTTTTCACATCTTGAGGATTTTTTCTCTCTCTCTTCTTTATATTTAATTTTCTTTAATGTTTAAATTTCCCTACAAATGTCCAAGGTCTTTGCTTTCACTGACTTCACCATTGATCTCCACTTGTGCCCTGGGCCAGAGACCCAAACCAGGTGCTACTGTATCATCCAAGCCAGATGGACCTGGAGCTCAAGGACATCATATAATTATAAGCAAATCTAAATGGAAATGGTAAAGTTAATCATGATAGGCCTACCTACCAAAAGGTATGAAGCACCTCAGGTTTGTCAAATAATGCTTACCGGTAAGAATGTATCTGATGAACTGACATGACTTGTGTAATTGTTAAACTGATTTAGTGGCAGAAGATTTGACTTCGTAACTTAAGAGTAATAATTTTCACTTGCACCTGAAGCTGGATCATCAGACCTATTTACTCCATGTTTACATTCCCTAACTACATTTCTGTCTTCTGCTCATTCCTTGATCATTCTAACTGGCCATCTTCACAACAAATTAAAAAAAATTATATTTCTCCTCATTTTAGTTACTGTATAACCATATATTTTGTATATGACTACAATAAACATAATGCAAATTTATCAGGCATGTTTATCATGACTCAGGATAAGTGTGGGTTCTCATATCTAATCTGGTCAATAGGCTGGACTGTATGAGAAATGGAGCAAGGACCTGTTGTACCAAGTCCAGATGAACAGCCGCAGGAGGCAGCAGCAGCAACGGGCGCAGCAACAGGAGGAGGAAGAGTCTCAGAAAGAGACAGAGTCAGGCAGTGGCATCAAGGCTCTCACCATCACACACCTGCAGGGAGCATACATGCTCCTCCTCTTGGGCTCTGGTCTTGCAGGACTTGTCTTTATCACGGAGGCCTTTCCCAAGTGGCTTTTGCAGGGAAAAAAGTAATTAGTTGTACTGGGTATTTTATTATCTGAAATGTGAATACTGCTTTACTTAGGTATTTCTGCAATAGGAGCATGCATAGGGTGGTCCAAATTAATACACACTACAGTATTTGGAATTTTAAATAATTTACATACTGTAGTATTCTAATGCATATCTTTTAATTTCAGGGTATATAATTAAGACATCCCACAGTTATGCTAGCCATATACAATAGTTCATCATGCCAGGTCAGCTGACTGTGTGGCACTGAATGAACACTGTGGAATGGCATTTAGCCATGAACTCTTTGGCACAAATTCAATGTAATTTTAAGTGAGAGTGCAGTACAGTATCATGTTTGCAAACGAGCAACCAAAACTACTATTTTATAAATATTAGACATGTGGAAAACAATAGGTTGTATTAAAAATCATGATAAAGACCACAATGGGTGGTCAAAAACTGTCAGGAATAAGGAAAACATTGATTGACTCAGAACAAGTCTTGGATGCTCTCTACAAAATTCAAAACAGTGATTATATCACAAAAGTTGGGAACCCACTGTAAGGGCTGTAATGAGCGGGATGGTTGTCCACCGCTCGTTTGCTTGCTCACGGACCCACTAGAGGGGTAAATGGAGGTGAAAAGGTCGCTGCTGCCTCGTCGCACGCCAGACACGATCCAGCCATCACCACAGCTGTACTTCGCCCCGCTGTTCGATTCCAACTCTGGCTGTGTACTCATCTGAGGTTCCTGGGGCTCGTGGGCTGATTCCCCAGTCCTTCACTATACGGCTGTCAACTCCGGTCACCTACTCAAGCTACTGCTGCGCTGCCACGTGATTGCCACTTCCTCCACGCCCTATCCACCATTCGTGCCCTGGCATCTCTCCTGTGTGGCAAGACATCGCCCACCAATGCTGGTGCCAAGTGAGGAAGCTGCCCTGGACCTTCCCCCTGAGAGTGTATCACCGCGTTACCAGAACATTCCACTGTGCTGGTTAGGAGAAAGATTTATCGGCAGCCATAGGAAGTACCTGTTCTTTGTTGTATTGACTGTTTTGTTTTAAGTAATTGTTTGACTCCAGTGCTGTTTATTTAATATTTGTGTGAGCGGTGTCAGAGTTAAATTATTGTGATTATTTTCGTAGTAAAGAAATGTCAATCTCTAATGGTTGTTTATTACTCCTTGGAAACCCATGGTTCTTGACTTTCCTTTTTATAAGATCCTCATTAGGCTGGCAAGGGATTTATATCCCGAAGGCCAGGCCTTTACACCCACATACAACCATAATGAGAATAAGGCATAAAGACATGAAAGACAACAAAGATACCAGACTGAGAGTTGGCAGGGAAATATCAATGAGGATCGAAAATAATGGGATAATCCCATTCAACTTATTGGACATACTAATAAGCCAAGCATGTGGTTCTGGGACAGTGAGGACACCCATGTTTCCACAGAGAAACACCGAGTGTATAGCAAGTTAAAGTGTGGTGTGCTTTTGGCAAAAATGGGCATCACAGGAACCTTCTGTTTCAAAGATGAGCTTGACAATTCTCTTACCATCAATTATGAATGGTACCAAAATCTCATCCAAGGTAAATTCTTGCCAGCACTGAAGAGATGCAGAAAAGTGCAGATGGGGTTGGTGGTGTTCCAGCAGCATGGAGCACCACCCCCACCATATTAAAAGCCAAACTAGAATACCTACATGGTGCATTCAATAGTGATCCCCTCATCTCAAACAGGACTCCTAACATTTGGCTGCTGCATCCAGCAGATATAAACCCATGTGACTGCTTTCTCTGGGGTTATCTTAAGGATTGCATGTACCATAAGCACCCACACACCATTGGAGAAAACAAATAAATACAAATTTGAGACCTAAAACAGAACATTATCAATATCATCCAGATTACACTTGACATGCTGGAGCAAGTTGTTGACAACTTCAATCTTCATGTGACCATAATTGAAGGGTGAGGAGCATGGATCGAGCATACAGTATCATTAACTAACTTGAATGTTTACTTTTTTAACGTGTGGCCACTGCACAATGCAGTACAGAGTAATGGTGTCCACTATTTAAAGCTTACATCTTTGCATGACACATTGTGATAAAATAATGATGATGCCATGAATTCCCTTTTTTTATCCTCTTAACCACTGATTGGCTCGTTAGCCGCTTGGGTGATCAGTCACATCTCTGTTACGCACTGTTGGCAAGTACTGGCTCCTGGCAATGATTTTGTGGTTGTAGGCCTCTTGACCTGGGCTGTACCTCCAACTCGGTGGAGATTGAGTTTTCACAAATACAATCACGTCTAGCACTAAAAATCTTACATTGATTTACACTTTCACATCACTAAGACAATCTTAGTGATCTTATGTAATCACTGTCCAATTTCTGCCTCCCAATAACAAAGGCCTGAATGCCGAAAACGCTTTGTTACAGAGACGCAACACGACCCAACCCGCGCGCCCAAGGCCTAACAAGAAGAAATTGAATTCCCTGTGGACAAACTTCAGGATGGATTTACAGTGTCTGAATCCATGAAATCTGGTGCTGGTGTTGAAAATATATATAAAACAAGCCTCTGGTGGATGTCATTATTATCAATGCCAATTGTTATACTGTACTAATTTACTTAATTATTGATCTTAGGAAATTATTAACGTGATGTTGTGTGCAACACCTTTTCATTTCCATAATGAATCCATCCTCAATTTTTTTTTTTCATTTAAGCAATACTGTATTTGTATCCTTACTTGTATATAATCTTTGAGACACTGTATTATAGTTAACAGGTTTTTATTATAATTTGGCCTACTGATTGTGGCGATATAGCACTTAAGAATTTCAGGTCCTCATATGAGTTCCCAGTGGCCAGGAACCGCAAAGTTATTGATAACCGCTGACTTGGAAGAATGGCTTCTTCTGCTACTGTATATTTTTTTTCAATGAGTGGCGTGACCATCTGCAGTAACTTGTCAAAACATTCTCCATCCATTTGCAGGAAATTCTTGTAGTTGACCGGCTCATTGATAGCAATTCAGGTAAAAGATTCTCAAGAGTGTAATGATTCCGCTTCTTCAGCCATGTTTTGGCCATCATATCCGTTTGTGCCTTGTTTTCTTGTCCTTGCCTAGCGAAACTGCGAGAGCAAGAGCTATACAAGCGTCACTGTCAATATTCATGGTTGGTGATACAAAACCTCATGCGTCAAAGACAAGTCCGCAACTGATCATTGAACAATATTATTGCACTGTTAGTGGCAGACACATTTTGACGAATTATTGCTGTCAATTATACTGAGTAAATTTTATTGATCATGTATGGGCCACTTTATTCCCGCCTCTCTGCACTTGTTTACACTTACCAGGTGTCTCTGACTTCGTGTTCTTTCATTACCAACTTCATGTGTTATGCAATCATGCCTAAAATCCCCAGTGATAGTTCCTCAAGGGGGCAGTTTGATGTGATGTGATAAGGCATAATAAGAGTGGTGATGGACCAGCAAAGATTGGTAGAGACATGAACTTGCCACCCTAGACCGTCTCTACCATCCTCAACACCAACACGGGTAAATAAAGGTCCCAATTTATGCTTTACATTCCTTAATTAATGCTTATTATGCTTGCTTTATATGTATGCTTTATTTTCTTGCTTGACAGTGTGCACAGCAGAGATATATCAAGGGTAGATGGAAGTGTTTGAGGGGTGGTGGGTCCTTAATCCCCTGAATTTGTTATACTATGAGATTAATTGCTTCAATAACCATTGATTCACTAACCAATGACTTTTCACAGTCCCCACATGAGTGGGTTATCAGGGTATGCCTGAAGATGTTATCGTACAGGAAGCCAGACATAGACGCCAATACCACCTGGTTCACAGTCACAAGATGATAAGCTTTACGGCTGCACCCATTCTGGTTAATTCTCCTCCATCAAAAACAAACCCAGACAACAGTGTACCCCTAGCTAGTTTTAAATATAACTGAAAATAGAAATATGATGAAGATTCCTTTACAAAGAGTATGCCATGAGAATATCATAAAAAAAAAACTTTTATAAAACATCAGAACTTTGGTAAGATACATACAGCTACAGTCCTGCATCAATACAGTGCCATCTCCAGGCTATCTGACTCATGTAACCGAGCTAGGTTCAGTATCACCTTTGGCACTGATCATGTCACCAAGGTTGTTGAACTCAACGACACAGTCCAAGGATATATCCACAATGTAGAGTTTCTTCAGCTTTGCTAAGGCCACAAGATTACCTGTACATAGAGTACAGTACAATTAAAATAAGGAAAATCCTGTAGTCTGCCTTTTACACCACTACGTATCTAGTACTGTCTATACCTACTTTCCATGCTTATTTCACATCATTTAGTTGCTGCCAACACCTTTCTTACAGACAGCACATAAGTCATATTCACTGGTCCTTTTGTTTTTGTCAATTTCATTCTCATACCCTTGACTATTCCATCCTTCCATTCCTTAAATTTATCCACTACCTCTTCATTACTATCTCTTATCAACATAAAGTTATCAGCATACATATAACTCCAAGGGCATACTAGTCCTCAAATCCTAGAATACAGTACAGTAGCGCCTTTAGCACCATGATAACAGGAGGAGGCTCAAGACAGACTCTTGACAAATTCCTAATTCCCCTCACCATAATTTTACTGTCACAGATGTTCTTGATCTCTCATACAATGCCAAAACCATTGCCCACTGCATTAACTCAAGATTAAATGTAAAACACATATTCCAGAAATTGTATGAGAGAATCTTGAGGCAGCGGTGGTTGTAGCTACATTGCCAATTCATAAATATAATTTTCTTGATTATTTAAGCAAATATACAAACATATAGAAACTTCTCATGATCTTAATTAACGATGAATAGTTTATTATAAAAATGCTACCTTTGGATTATTTAATATTGATCCTGACAGTGATACTACTAAAAATAGATCCACCTGTCACAATCCCCATTGCATACAGCCTTACTTAGCCAAGTATTGCAAGGTAAAATTGCGAGTTCAAGTGCCAGGGCGAGGTCAACGGAACTTTGGCTGACTATACATCTGATTCACACTACAATCCTTGGTGCCAAAGGACATCATTCTTGGAAAAGTGTCACACAGTGAATGGTGTCATGTACGTAATGGTGGGAAGCAGAAAAAATAAGATTATAAACAATTGTGTACACAGATGCTAGAAATTAGTTGGTTGCAGGAAAGTGGACCCTTCTTATCCTCTTAATATTGCCTGGAAATCACTGCTCAAGAAATATTAAACTTCCAGAGCTAATAGAACACATTTGTATTTGGCCAAATCATGATGAAATTCCTAGATCGTAAGCAAAATGACCTGCAGCTGCAGGTCTTTTAGTATCCTATGATGTGCTTTCTGCATTACATTTAGACTAGGTTTTTATCTTTATCATCCATTTTCTATACAGATAATTATATACCTACCTAATTTCCCTAATGATCATGACAACTTGAAATCACTTCGACAGCAAGGAGGATCCTCCTCACTGTTTTTGATAGCCATCTTCCTGTCATCTTCAATGTACAGGTATGTTCCTCCTGATGAACCATTTTCTGTTTCGTATTGATTGATGGGAAGTTATTATGACTATTTACTTTCCATTCCTCTTGCTATATCATGCAAAGAACAAAATTGAAAAGAATATTAGTGTAATTGGATTTTATTTTTGACAAAGTAAATACCACTCATATTTACAAAATATAATAATAAATAAATGACAATGGAAAAGTTAAGTACAACATAAATGACAAAGTCCCAACCTAGTAATGAAAACAAACAAACAAACAAACAAACAATCCATCAGGGTCACTACAAATTTCAAAAGAATTTTTGTCTATCAAACAACTAAATACGTACTCAACTAAGTACAATACAGTAAAGTACTGTACTGTAAACCAGGAAAAAAAATTGATTTCTGTACGTAGTTTGAAAATGATACAGCACTGTACTTTAAGACAATTCCAGTATAATTAAGCCACCAAATAGCTAAAACACAAAAACAGGGATATATTTCTTCTTCATAAAAATGCATGTAGTACTGCAAATGATTTTGAAGTATAAATGAGGTACGTACAACACAGCACATACAATTTTATTTTCTTCTTTGATTTTCTCCACTCTGAGGAAAGATATTCCTTTAAGTGTTTATGACATATTTTGAATAATGTCAACATTAATTCTAATA